GATAGAAGACATTTACAGGGAGAGATTAAAAAAATTCAACAAACTCAAACGCCATAATTTTTACATTCTTTTTAAATTATATTGACCGAAAGCAAAAAATATCGGAAATAGCTTCAAATTTTAGAATAAGTTTAGATTTGTTCGAATTAGTCACTTCTGGCACGAAATATGGCCTTCAATCGGCCAATGAAACCGTCACACGCTGCCCGAATGTTGCTCTGCGGCATTTTGATCCATTCCCGTCGAAGCGCCTTGCTTGAGGTGATCGACACTTTGGTATTTATTAGTGCCAACTTTGCTCTACAAAATACTGCAGACACAATAGTCCAACGGATTGGTATCCCAAGGCTTTAATACACCCTCCAGAATATTTTCGCGATAATATTCGTCATTTATTCTGATGCCACGGTCGATTAATACGAGCGGAGAGCGATCATCGGCTGTAATGGCGGCCAACACCATCACCATGGCCGGCGCTTGAGTTCTGCTGGCCAGCCGAAGATGCACATTTTCAGCTGTCGTCTTTGACAAGTAACCCCGATAATTTTGTTTGTTTACAAACTGCTGGACAACGAATGTTTTCTCATCGGAGAAAACCAAAGTCGGCAGTTCACCACTTTCGGCCAAGCGATGCAACTCTTTGGTTCTCTCGAGTCTATTTTCTTTCTGTGGCGGTGTAAGTTCTTGCACTTTTTGGAATTTCTATGGCTTTGCCGAATGGAATATTGCGATATGTTCAGCTCACGAGTCATTTTTCGACCACTGCGCCACGAGTTTCGATCAAACCGCTTCTTTACTTTTCGAACCATTTCTGCTGATGTTGCTGTTTTTCCGTCTTCCGTCCACTTCCTTGACATATGTCGGGCTGCGCTACCAGTTTCACGGTAACGAACGATGGTACGAGACACAAAATATTTATTCACATTTAAATGCTGGAGTGCTCGAACGATAGCCACCTCTTGTTTTTCCAGCCAAATATAAAGAAATCACAATATCACGCTTGAATTCCATCACGAATAACTTTTTTCTGGAAAATTCTCACCAAAATGCTTTTGTACGCTTGTAAACACTGTAATGAGCTGTCACTGGAATAATTTTAAAAGCTGTCGGACGAGTGGCTTAGGAATGATAGCAGTTTGAATATGGTTGCAGTTTTTCCATCTCACCCTGCATAAGACATTTTGTACCTTTTTTTTAAATAAAACACCCCATACTCGGCATTCAGGGACTTTATGCTTCCTTTAAGCTTCCTTTACATCCCCAAAATCTATCAACTTTATCCCCAGCCAAAGTTTGAAACAAATAAATAAATTTCGGCCAAAAAAAAACTTTAATTGTATTTTCTTTATTTTCCAAACGGACTATGACAGCATCATTCACTTTTGCCATTATCCCCAGAGAATATACAGGGTAACAACAGCAACAACAACGACAGATGAACATTGATTTGATTTGGTCATAAAACTTAAACTAAACTCTCAGAGAGCTGAACGGAGACTATCTAAACTCAATTCTGCCTTGAAATGCATAACAATTTTTGTTCGTTTGTTTGTTTTTGCTTTGTGTTCGACAAACTTGCACAAAATCATTTAACAATAAAGTAGCAACAACAACAATGAAAGTTTTAGCGATTAAACTATAGTTTATGACTGGGCTATGCTCAGCTCGCGTTTGAAGGATGATGAAACTGTAACAAAATGTTTATTATGCGGGGAACGCCTATCGGGCTTTCCTCGCCTCTCTACCCCATACTCTCTTGGTACTCACTGGGGTGTTTGCTCTCGTTGTCAGCATACCGGTCTATAATTACATTTTTCAAAGTTTTGCACATTTTTTGTTTACTTATTTCTAATGCTGCTTGGCAACGGGATTTCAGAGCAGCAAAAAACAAAACGGAAATGAAACAAATTTTGGAATTTTTTTAATTAAATGATATTTTTTTGAATGGTGACTTGTTTCAATAATTAAACTATTAATTGGGATTTTAAATAAGATTATGGTGGGGAGTAGTGTATCTATAGAATCCTTTACAAAAAAATGTTTAGGATTGGTAATATTTTTTTTAAATCCGCGCCTATGAAAATGTTTTTGGAAAAAATAATCTTCTTGTAAAGTGAAAAATATTAGAAAAAACATTATAGTCCTGTAAAAACTTTAAATGTCCTGAAAATCCTTTAATAAATATTTATTTAAAAACCAACTGCTTTAGTTCTGAAAATCCTTAGAAAGCCACGCTCATAGTTCTGAAAAACCTCTACCATCCACATTTGTAATCCTGAAAATTCTTTGAAGCTCACGCTTATAATCCTGAAAATTCACGCTTATTATCCTAAAATGTTCACGCTTATAGTCCTTTAAAACATTTGAAATCCATGTTTATATAGTCCACCAATTCCTTTGAAATCCACGTTTGTAGCCCTGAAAATCCTTTAAAATTAGCGCTTGTAGTCCTGAAAATCACGCTTATAGTCCTAAAAATCCATTAAAATTAGCGCTTGTAGTCCTAAATTCCACGCTTAAAATCCACATTTATAGTCCTACAAATCCTTGGAAATTCACGCTTAAAGTCCTGAAAACCATTTAAAATCTACGCTTGTTGTCCTAAAAATCCTTAAAAACTGCAATATTACAGTCCTGAAAATCCTTTAAAATCCACACTTATAGTCCTAAAAATTCTATGGAATTCATGCGTATAGTCCTGAAATCCACGCTTATAGTCGAGAAAATCCTTTGGAATCCACTCTTATAGTCCTGAAATCCACAGTTAAAGTCCAGAAAATAATTTGAAATCCACACTTCTAGTCCTGCAAATCCTTTGAAATCCGCGCTTATATGAAAACCTTTTTGAAATCCACGCTTGTTGTCCTGAAAATCCTCAAAAAATCCAATCTTATAGGCCTGAAATTCTTTAAAATCTGCACTTATAGTCCTGAAAGTCCTACAAAATTCATGCTTATAGGCCTGAAAATCCTTTTAAATCTAAGCTTATAGTCCTGAGATTCCTTTGAAATCCTCGCTTAATTTCCTGATAATCCTTTGAAAAATATTTATTTCTAATTCCATGCTTGAAGTCCTGATAGCCCTTTTGAAGATTTAAAAAAAAACCACGTTAGGAGGTCCTCATGAATATCAAAATAATAACCCCCTTAGAAAGTATTTTAAAAATCACGCTTGGAAGTCCTAAAAATATAAAGCCCTTGGAGGTTCTTAGAAATATTTAAAAAATCTGTTTCGATGCCTTTAAACTTTTTTGGAGGTCCTTTAAAGTATATTAAAATAACGTTTAGAGGTTTTAAAAAATCGAAATAAAACGAACGAGGTCCCTAAAAAATATATTTTAAGTATATTTTCGGTTGATCCTTTAGAGATCCTTAGAAACTATTTAAAAAAATGCACGTTTCTGTTGGTTTTAGGAGATCCTTAGAAAAATATTTAAAAGAATGCCGAAACTTGGATTTGGAGGTCCTTTTAAAAAATCTACGTTTCTGTTGATCCTTGGAGGCCTTTAAGAATTGTTCAAAAAACACGTTCATGTTGTTTCTTTAGATGTCCTTAGAAACTGAAGCCACTTTTCTTTTATTTCTATGAGGGTCCTTAGAAAAATATTTAAAAAATACCACGTTTCTGTTGATTATTTGGAGGTCCTCTGAAGATCCTTAAAAAAATATTTTTAAAAAATTTATATTTCTGTTGCGCTTTTAAAGGTCCCATGAAAGTCCTTAAAATATTTTTAAAAAACCCACGTGTCTTTAGCTCTTTCGAAGGTCCCTTTTTGAAAAAATCCACGTTTCTGTTGCTCTTTAGAAGACTCTTTGGAAGTTTCTGTTGTGTTTTCGAAGGTCCAGAAGTCAATTGTATGTCCTACGAAAAATAATTCTAAAACATAAACATTTCTGTTGGTCCTTAGGAAAATATTTTTTAAAAAATTCACGTTTCTGATGGTCCTTTGGAGGTCCTTCAAGAAGGAGGTCTTTCTGAGTTCCTTTGAAGGTCCTTAAAAAATATTTTCAAAAAATCCACGTTTCTGTTGATATTTCGGAGGTCCTTAAAAAATATTTTAAAAAAAATCCCAGTTAAGTTGGTATTTTGGTGGTCCTTTAGAGATCATTTCGAGGTCCTTAAAAATTGTTTTAAAATATCCACGTTTCTGTTGGTATTTCGGAGGTACTTTGGTACCCCTTAGAGGTACTTTGGAGATTATTTCGAGGTCTTTAAAAATATTTTTAAAAAATCCACGTTTCTGTTGGTTTGGACTTCCTCTGGAAGTCATTCATCAACGTTTCTGTTGGTTCTGAGTTACTCTGGAGGTTATTTGGAGGTCCTTAAACAAATATTTTTAATAAATCCAAGTTTCTGTTGGTTCCGAGTTCCTTTGGAGGTTTTTTGAAGGTCCTTAAACAAATATTTTTTAATAAATCCAAGTTTCTGTTGGTTCTGAGTTCCTCTGGAAGTTATTTGGAGATCCCTGAACAAACATTTAAAAAAAAAAACCAACTTTCTGTTGGTGTTTTAAAAAATCCACGTTTCTGTTGGTCTTTTGGGGTCCTTCGATGTCCCAAAAAAATCTTTTTTTTAAAAAATCCACGCTTTCTTTAAAGCTCCTTAAAAATCCACATTTCGAGGTCCTTCGGGGGTCACTTCGATGTTCTAAAAATATATTTTTAAAAAATGTCACGTTTCTTTTGAAGATCCTTTAAAAATATTTTGGTCTTTCGGAGGTCCTTACAAAAATATGTTTAAAAAATGCAGGTTTTTAGAAAAATATTAAAAAAAGGACCTTAGAAAAAATTTTAAAATTATTTTTAGAAATAATTCTTTAAAATCCTTGGAAAATATTAAAGAAAAAGAAAATCCATAATATCTTTCGAAAACATATTTTTAAAAATGCTCCTTTACCGATTTGAATATCCTTGTAAATTATTTATAATAACTATGAATTTATTTAATCCTCACATTTTCTAATTGTCATATTTTTTCTCTTATTTTTCCCCATTTTACAGACTCTTGCGTCGTGATAGCGAAGATTCATCCGTTCGATGCTCGTACTGTTCTGTACTAAATGTCAACGAGAACGATTTGAGGAGATCCTTTGAAAACACCTGCACCGATTCATTGGTAACAGCTTTTGATGATGAGGCTTTACTAATATGCGACCAAGGAAACGAAATGGCAAGGACAAAGGTTTATTTTATTCATTTAGAGCGTAGGTGACAGACACCCGCATGCACATGCACGTGCTCACGCAGCCATACTACCACCACCACACACAAACACTTAGTCACGACAGTCACAAACGAACACAGATGGACAAACATTTATATTCATGCCCTGCAACTGCATTGTGTTGGCCCACTCATTGACCGGGTCAGACAGAAAGCAAACAATCTGCCAACCATCCAACCAACTGAATATCATCATCAATTTGTCCAAGCATCAATCCATCCATCCAGCCATCAAATCATTCACACTTTCCAGACACATCGTGTCGTCATCAGTGGGCAGGCAGGCAGCCAACCAATCGACCGGCTACCCAAGTTAGCCAGTTAGCGTGCCAAGCCGGGGAGCTGCCTGCCTGTCTCACATTAGACATTTCCATCCACACCCATAGATTTCACGCTTAGGCCTGGTTGCGTCCACACACACACACATACCTACAGACATACATATATTATGAATACGTATATATCTATCTATCAATCACATCAGATTTGCATGATTTATTGTTGTTATTGTTTCAATTTGTCAATAGTTTTGTAGTTTGAGAAACAAGAAAAAACACACACACACACACTCACAAAATAAACACAGTGGGCGATATTTTGAAGAGAAACAATTTTTCACTGTTTGTTTTGTTGTTGGCCTTAAATATTAAAGCGGAAAATTCTCAAGACCTTTATGGGGAATTCCATGGATAGGAGATCGTCAAGAGGTCCTTTGTCTTTAAAAGACCTTTGGGAGGTCCCCTAGAGACCAACATTTCTGTTGGTCCTTTACAGGGTGAGATAAAAAAAAACTGCAACAAAGTAAAACGACATAATTTTTAGATTTTCATACCCTACACCACAAGGTGGTCAGGGTATTATGTCTTTGTGTATTTGTTTGTAACAGGCAAAAGGAAACTATGGGTCCGCATAGAATCACATTCTGAGTCGATTTATGCATGTCCGTCTGTCTGTCCATGTATTTTTTTGAACAAAGTACAGTTCGCATTTATTGTCCGATCCAGATGAAATTTTGCACAAATCATTTGTTTGGCCCAAAGACGAACCCTACTGGTCTTCCGAGGTTCTTCGGAGGTCACTTTAATGTCCTAAGAAATATTTTTAAAAAAACCCTCGTTGGTCTTTCAAGGTCCTTTGGAGGTTAATTCGGTGTAATAAAAATATTTTTAAAAAAATCCACGTTTCTGTTGGTCTTCCGAGGTCCTTCGGAGACCACTTCGTTTTCTTAAAAAATTTTTACAAAAAAATCCACGTTTTTGTTTTTCTTCTGAGGTTCTTCGGAGGTCATATTGATGTCCTAAAAATATTAAATAAAATCCACGTTTCTATTGGTCACGTGGTGTAGGTTATCATAAAGTCGGCCCCGCCCGACTTTTAGACTTTCTTTACTGTTTTTTTTTTTTTTTTTTTTTTTTTAATTTTATTGAATGATAGCAAAAAGGTCGGAAATAGCATCAAAATTTAGAATAAGTTTAGATTTGTTCGAATTGGTCACCTTTGGCACGAATTATGGCCTTCAAACGGTCAATGAAACCATCACACGCTACCCGAATTTTGCTCTGCGGTATTTTGGTCCATTCCCGGCGAAGCGCTGGCTTGAGGTGATCGACTCTTTGGTATTTTTTAGTGCCAACCTTGTTTTCCAAAATACTCCAGACACAATAGTCCAACGGATTGGTATCCGGAGATTTTGGTGGTTATTTAGCGCTGGAAATGAAGCGAGGCATCTCATTTTGTAACCATTCTTGGGTGGCGCGTGCGATGGTGCTGAGTCCTGTTGGACTGGTCTGCGGCCAAAATATTTGCGTGCCCAAGGCTTTAATACAACCTCCAGAATATTTTCGCGATAATATTCTGCATTTATTCTGTGTCGATGCCACGGTCGTTTAATACGAGCGGAGAGCGACCATCGGCTGTTATGACGGCCCACACCATCACCATGGTCGGCACTTGAGTTCGGTGGCCAACCGAAAGTGCACATTTTCAGCTGACCTCTTTGGCAAGTAAACACGATCATATTGGTTGTTTACAAACTGCTGGACAGCGAATGTTTTCTCATCGGAGAAAAACAAATTCGGCAGTTCACCACTTTCGGCCAAGCGAAGCAACTCTATAGCTCTTTTCAGTCTATTTTCTTTCTGTTGCGGAGTAAGTTCCTGCACTTTTTGGAATTGCAATGGCTTTGACCCGTGTTCATTTTTCAATATTTGCCAAATGGAATATTGCGATATGTTTAGCTTACGAGCCATTTTTCGGCCATTGTCTACTGCGACGCGGGTTTCAACCAAGTCGCTTCTTTACTTTTCGAAACATTTCTGATGATGTTGCTGTTTTTCCGTCCACTTTCTTGATGTCAGGCTATGGTAACGAGCGATGGTACGAGACGCAATAGATTTATTCACATTTCAATGCTGGAGTGCTCTAACGATAGCCACTTCTTGTGGTTTTCCAGCCAAATATAAAGAAATCGCACTATCGCGCTTAAATTCCATCGCGAATAACATTTTCTCTGGAAAATTCTCAGCAAAATGCTTTTGTACGCTTGTAAACAATAGAATGAGCTGCCGCTGGAATAATTTTAACAGCTGTCGGACGAGTGGCTCGGAAATGACAGCAGTCTGAAGTTGGTTGCAGTTTTTTTTCATCTCACCTTTTAGATGTCCTTAAAAAATGTTTTAAGAAAATCTACGTGGATAGAAGACCGTCCACAGGACGGACCTTTCGGAGGTCATCTAGAGATAGAAAACCTTGAAAAGTTCTTCTATGTGGAAGTTTCATTGACGGAGGTCCTTCCATGGGTCTTTTATCCATGAAAGACCGTAGGAGGTCTTTTATTCACAGAAGACCTTCAAGAGGTGTTTTGTGTATAAGGGACCCATACGGAGTCTCCTATCGATAAAAATACCTTTAGATGGGCTCCTATCGTTAGAAGACTTCTCGATGGTCTTTCATGGAAAACCTTTATGAGGTCTTCTAGAAGGTGTTGTTAGCCTTTTAAAGGGTCTCTCATGGAAGGTCTTTATGAGATCTTCTAGAAGGTCTTAGTAGGTTTATCACCCAGTAGGAAGCATTTAAGCGGATGTTTCATTGACGGAGGTCCTTTCATGGGTTTTTTATCCATGAAAGACCGTAGGAGGTCTTTTATTCACAGAAGGCCTTCAAGAGGTGTTTTGTGTATAAGGGACCCCTAGGAAGTCTCCTATCTATAAAAATACCTTTAGATGGGCTCCTATCGTTAGAAGACTTCTCAAGGGTCTCTCATGTAAAACCTTTATGAGGTCTTTTAGATGGTCTTAGAAGCCTTATAAAAGAGTATCTCATGGAAGGTCCTTATGAGGTCTTCTAGAAGGTCTTGGTAGGTTTGTCACCAACAATTTTTACTTTGTAGTGCAATATTCCCCTCCCCCTCTCTCTATCATAATACAACCCATTAATGATTTTCCATTGGCTTTCGTTTTTTTCCTTTTTCATTTTCCTTTTTCAGGTTCACTTTGATGACGTATCGTTGTACGGGACTCCGAAAGAGGAGCCAATGCCTTCCATCCCCATTGTTTCGGAAAAAGTTTCAGCGAATTTCTTGAAAAGTCAATTGCAATCATGGTTTCAACCGACCGACAATCGGTTGGCTATGAAATTATTTGGCAGCCGCAAGGCGCTGGTCAAAGAAAGAATACGTCAGAAGACTTCCGGACATTGGGTTATTCACCCATGCAGTTCATTCAGGTGAGTGCTTTGAGAAGTTGCAGAAAATATTTTTATATTTTAATATTTTATAATTACTTGACCTTTGATGACCTTGGGACTCTTTATACCCTCCGCCATATGGCAAGAGAGGGTATATACCATTCGATACGGCCAAAATGTGCCTCATCGAAATAACGGTTTTAGACCCTAGGTCGCTTTGCATAAAATCCGTTTCAGGACATTTGCAGTCGATTTAGCGATGTCCGTCCGTCCGACCTGTCTGTCTGGTGGGCACGATAACTTTCGAAGGGAGTATCTGATTTGGCCCAAACTTGGTACATCGTAAAATTATTATCAAACTTAGATTGAGTTCGGAGATGAGCAATATTGGCCCACTCCTTCTGATACCTCCCCCACAAAAGGTCCACATTTTTTAAGAAAATGTTTTACTGCACAAAATGGGAAAGGATAATCCGATTTTGCTTCAACTTTGCAAATCCTAATATTTGCGTAAGTGCTAGGTCGGGTGCGAAAATGGACTGAACCGGTCCAATCCATCAAGTACCTCCCCCACAAAGGGTCAAAATTCGGAATAATTATAAACCTTATAATGTATAAAATAAGAGTCCGATTGTCTTCAAATTACACACAGCACAATATTTTTACTAATCCAAGGTCTGGTATAAAGATGAGATATATCGGTCAACTTCTTCTGGTAGCTCCCTCACAAAGGGTCAAATTTTTGAATATCCATGAAGCTCATAAAATGCCAAATTAACATCCTATTCCATTCAGACTTGGCACATCTCAATATTTCCATCAACACAAGATCTGTTATAAAGATGCTAGAGATCCGACCACTGCTTCCGGTACCTCCCCCACAAAGGGTCAAAATTTGGAATAATTATAACTCTTATAAAATCTGATCAAAGTGTCCGACAGTCTTCAAATTACACACATCACAATATTTTTATTAACCCAAGGTCTGGTGTAAAGATGTGATATATCGGTCCACTCCTAGCGGTACCTACCCCACAAAGGGTAAACATTTTGAATAACCCAAACAATTATAAAATCCGAAATAAGCATCCGGTTCTCTTCATATTTCACGCATTCCATTATTTCTGCTAACGCAAGATCCACTGTGAAGATGGGATACATCGGTCCACTCCTTCTGGTACCTACCCCACCAAGGGTCAAATTTTTCATAGAAAATAATTTACCCTATAAAACAAGAAATGACCATCCAATATATAGGGAGGTACCATTTTATCGGATCTCTATGAAGACCCGGACCTGCATAGACAATTTTCTGTCACAGACTGTAGTTCCCATTACGAACTCTAAATACGTAATTTGAAACAATTCCGTTGAATAATGTCCCTAAAATCATTAAAATACCGAATATTGGGAGGTACTGTTATGTGGAGGCTAAACGAAGACCCGGACCTGCATAGACAAATTTCTGTCACAGGCTGTAGTATCTATTAGGAACTTCAAATACGAAATTTCAAACAATTTCGGTAAATAATGTCGCGAAAATCATCAAAATACCGAGTATAGGGAGGTACTGATATATGGGGCCTATACGAAGACCTGGAACTACATAGACAAATTTTCTGGCACAGGATGTAGTACCCATTACGAACTTTAAATACGAATTTTGAAATAATTCCGATGAACAATGTCTCTAAAATAATCAAAATACCGAATATTGGGCTGTACTGATATAAGGGGGCTTATACGAGGACCTGGGCCTGTATAGACAATTTTCTCTATTTTCAATACTCTTCAAGGGGATAAAGTACTCACAGAGAACTCCTTGTGTAGAATTTCAGAAAATTCCATTGAAAAATGTAGTGGAAAACATCAAAATACCGAATATCGGGAGGTACCATTATATGGGGGCTCTACGATATAGTGGACCAATATAGCCCATCTTCGAACTTGACTTACCTGCAGACAAAAGACTGATCTTGTGTCAAATTTTAGCTTCCTATCTCTATTTGTTTTGACTCTAGCGTGATTACAACAGATGGACGGACGGACGGACAGGGCTAAATCTGCTCAGAATCGTCTCAGGAATACATATATCCTTTTTTGGGTCTAAAATTATTATTTCGATGAGTTACAAACGGAATGACGAACCTAATATACCCTCCATACTATATAGGTTGGAGGGTATCAAAAAATAAACATTTCAATATTTTTATTCTATTCTCTCTTTCTGTCATGCCTTCTCTCTCCCTCTCTCTCTTTTCGCAGGTTTTATTGGGACCTTTGTATGCTTTTATTATTAGTAGCAAATCTTATTATCCTGCCAGTCGCAATATCATTCTTCAACGATGATCTAAGCACAAGATGGATTGCCTTTAACTGCCTAAGTGATACTATTTTTTTAATAGATATTGTAGTCAATTTTAGAACAGGTAAGTAGCCCCATCCAGCACCTCCCTCCCCTTCTGAAACTCCAAGTGCCACATCAAATAAATCCAAGAGAAATTTGAACATTTATTTTGAAAACCTATCATCTCACCAAACCCCACTCTTCACCCCCCATCCTCAACCCCTTTCCAGGAATTATGCAACAAGACAACGCCGAACAGGTCATACTGGATCCCAAGCTTATAGCCAAACATTATTTAAGGACATGGTTTTTTCTTGATTTAATCTCATCGATACCGCTCGACTATATCTTTTTGATTTTCAATCAGGTATGTAGGTTGATAAAACAGATCGCATGTCTTTAATTAAGATTATGAAATTGCAGGACTTCTCCGACTCATTTCAAATCCTACATGCCGGTCGTGCCCTACGAATATTACGCTTAGCTAAACTCTTATCGCTGGTGCGGCTGTTGCGTCTGTCGCGTCTGGTGCGCTACGTGTCGCAATGGGAGGAGGTGTATGTAAGTATTAGACAAGCAGTTAGCCACACTCTCACCATATCCTTCTGTTTTTGTTTTTTTGTCACTGGTTTTCTTCCTCTCTACTACTTTTATCTGATTATGATTTGAGAGTTATTATTTGAGTATTTATCAAAATATAATTAACGATATTAGTATTTATGATATTTTCTTTTTTAATTTTGAAGAGACGTAACTATTTTTTTTACTATTTTTAAACTACTGCCCTTACCTATATTCTTTGAATTTTAATAATTAATTAATGTCCTCCTACTCCTCTATTTATTAATTAAATAATTAATTACGATTAAGTGTTATTGTGTCTGAATTCCTATCTTCATTATTTATGAGTGTTCCTATGTATTAATCATTTAAAAAAAAAAACAAAAACTATTTTAAAAATTAGGATGATGATCATTACAATGGTCATAATGATGAGGATTTCAAAAAAATAAAAAATGATGGCAACAATGTTGATGATGATGAGAACACTTCTCTTTTCGGTTTTGCATATTTTTGTGTGTAATTTGTTTCATTCTTACCCAATATAGAGCCCTTATAGACAAATTCCCAGACCACTCCCTCTTTCCTTCCCTCCAAATACAGTCGATGGCAGTTATGTTGAACAAGGCATAGACACCAATTTCGACAAGTTTTCTATAAAAATCGATTTTGTCAAAATTTTCTATTGAGCAGGCAATTTCGACGAAATTTTTTGTAGATCGAAAATTTTGACGAAATTTACTATGAATCGACCATTTCGACGAAATTTCCAATAAATAGTGAATTTCGACGAAATTTACTATATATCGGCTATTTTGATGAAATTTACTATATATCGGAAATTTCGACCAAATTTACTATAAATGAACAATTTTGACGAAATTTCCTTAAGATCCCGAAAATACGACGAAATTTACTATAGGTCGACAATTTCGACGAAATTTACTACAGACAGGCAATTTCGACAAAATTTACTATAGATCGGAAATTTCGACGAAATTTATTGTAAATCAACACTTTCGACGAAATTTCCTTTAGATCCATAATTTCGACGAAATTTACTATTGGTCGAAAATTTCGACGAAACTCGCTATAGATAGGCAATCTATACAAAATTTACTGTAGCCAAGCAATTTAGACGAAATTAACTATAGACAGGCAATTTCGACGAAATTCGTAAAGAATATCTGTTTCTTCTTTGTCTGGAAGCCCTCATCAAATTTTTCTATGCCTCTACGAACAGATAAAGATCTCCTTTTTTACAATGGATCAACAATTTAGACAAAGATTACTATTAGAGACAGACAAATTCGACGAAATTTACTGTAGGTCGGCAATTTCGACGAAATTTACTACAGACAGGCAAATTTACTATGGATCAACAATTTTAACGAAATTTATTATAGATCGGCGGTTTCGACGAAATTTACTATGGATCAACAATTTAGACGACGATTACTACATACAGGCAATTTCGTCAAAATTTTCTACTAGACAGGCGATTTCGACGAAATTTTTTGTAGGTTGATCATCCGACGAAATTTCCTATAGATAGTGAATTTCGACGAAATTTCCTATAAATAGTGAATTTCGACGAAATCTACTAAAGATCCACAATTTCGACGAAATTTACTATAGATAGTTAAATTCGACGAAATTTACTATAAATCAGCAATTTTGACGAAATTTACTACACAGACAGGCAATTTCGACGAAATTTACTATAGGTCGACAATTTCAACGAAACTCGCTATAGATAGGCAATCTAGACTAAATTTACTGTAGCCAAGCAATTTAGACGAAATTAACTATAGACAGACAATTTCGACGAAATTCGTAATGAAGATCTATTTCTTCTTTGTCTGGAAGCACTCATAAAGTTTTTCTATGCCTCTACGAACAGATGAAGATCTCCTTTTTTTACTATGGATCAACAATTTAGACAAAGATTACTACACACAGGCAATTTCGACAAAATTTACTATAGATCGGCAATTTCGACGACATCTACTATAGATCGGCAATTTCGACGAAATTTAATATAGACCTCAAAATTTCGACGAAATTTATTATAGATAGGCAATTTCGGTGATATTTACTATAGATCGACAATGTCGACGAAATTTACTAAAGATCCACAATTTCGACGAAATTTACTATAGATTGTCAAATTCGACGAAATTTTCTATAAATCAGCAATTTCGACGAAGTTTCCTTTAGATCCGTAATTTCGACGAAATTTACTATAGTTCGAAAATTTCGACGAAACTCGCTATAGATAGACAATCTAGACGAAATTTACTGTAGCCAAGCAATTTAGACGGAATTAACTATATACAGGCAATTTCTACGAAATTTCCTTTAGATCCATAATTTCGACGAAATTCACTATAGATAGACAATCTAAACAAAATTTACTGTAGCCAGGCAATTTCGACAAAATTTACTAAAAATCCTCAATTTTGAAGAAATTTACTTAAACTCCTCAATTTCGACGATATTTTTTAAAAATTCTCAATTTCGACGATTTTTTTATTAAATCGCCAATTTCCACGAAATTTTACTGAATTTCGACGAATTTTCCCAAAAATCTTTATTTTTACAAAATTCACTAAAAAACGTAAATTTCCGAATTCAAAAGTCCTTTCGGACAGAAAAATCCCTGCAAGCTCTTTTCTACTGAAGACTACGTGAAGGTTTTCACCTGGAGAAGACTCCCATAAAAAGTGAATATCTTTAGCAAACTCCCTGAACACCTTTTCCTAGAGAAGACCATCTGAATTTCATCTTCGTCGTATAGACGGTCTTCAATGTCTGTCCAGACAATTTCTAGATTTTTTCGTACAGAAAAGCTTCTAAAAATCTTTCTTTTGCAGAGGACCTTTACTGAAAATCGTCAATTTCAACGACATTTACTACGTAAAGTGAGTTTCTATTTAGAAGGGACATTTGGAAAGGACCTTTCGTACAGAAGACTTCTTGAAGATCCTTTCCTACTGCAGAGTCTTTCTGGAGAAGATCCCTTCATTAAGAGAATATCTGCAGCAGACACCCTAAAGATCCTCACCTAGAGAAGACCACCTGAATGTACTCATAAAGTTCTTCTATGTCTAAAGGACCTGATCTCCTTCTTTTTCAGATGACCTCTTGAAGATTTTTGGTCTAGAGGACCTCCTGAACGTCTTCAATGTCTAGAAGAGGATTGTTTGAATATTTTTAGATGGAAAATCGAAACCAGATTTATGATTTGGATAAAATCCGTGGATTTTAAAGAACTTTGAAGTCATAGTACAAAAAAAAAAACTTCTTGAAAAGAAGAGGAGGGGTCGATCAATACCACTTACGTGATTTTTTGAAAAACAATCGGGTCATCCGCGAAGGTGTTCTCCTGGAGAAGACTCAAATAAAAAATGAATATTTTCTGCAAACTCCTTGAAAGTCCTTTCCTAGAGAAGACCATCTGGATGTCTTATTCGTATAGGCATAGGCAGTCTTCAATGTCTAGATAACCTTCGCTGAATGTCTTCAATGTCTAGAAGGGGATTTTTTGAATAATTTTAGATGGAGAATAGAAACTAGATTCATGATTTTAAAATAATCCGTGGACTATAAAGAAAATCATTGTTCCAATAATAATATATTCTGGAGGGGAGGGGTCGATCAAAACCACAGACGTGAATTTTAGAAGAACAATCAGGCAATAGTTTGGAATTGATTAAGAATAAGGACCTCCCGAACATAATTTTGTTCAGAGGACTTCTTGAACAGTTTTTGTTTCCAGAACATTGACAATGACTAAGAGGCGATTTATTTAAAATAGTTTTAAAGGACTGTAAGAGACAGAGTCCTGGACATTAAAAGAACTGTAGAAATAGATTTTTATGAATATTTTTAAAGGACTTCAATTTCCTGCATTTATAAACAATATTTTTTGAAGGACTATCAGAATTATGGCAGTGAACGTAAAGTAAAGTTTTTTATAGACCTGGAGCCATAGGCTAAATATTTTTAGGGAAATGTTCTAAGAACATTTTTAGGGGCTATCAGGGCAATCGACATGGATTTTTCAGGAATATAGGATAATCAGTGCTTCTAGACTGGATGTTTGTTTAGCATTTCAAAGGACTTTAAAGGCCAATTTCTAACAATTTTTAAAGGGCTATCCGCGGCGTAGTTTTTGATTTTTTAAATCAAAATTAAAATCACCACTAGATTTGATATTTTGCCACTAGACTTGATATTTTGAAGGAATTTTAGGGTCAATTTCTACCATATTTTAAAGGGCTAATAAAGGCATAGTCTTTGTTATATTTATTTATTTATTTTTTTTTTTTTTTTTGACAATTTTAAAAGGGCATCAACTAGATGTTTTGAAGGACTTTAAAGGACAAATTTTTACAATCTTTGAATCATTATCTTTGAATCTTTATCTTTAAAAAGACAATCAGTGCAACTAGACTAGATATTTATGGAGGAATTTTAGGGCCAACATCTAACAAATTTTTAAGGGGCTATTAGGGGCATACTCCTTGATTTTTTTGACAATTATAAGAGGACATTCAGTGTCACTAGACTGGATATTTATGGGGTTTTTTAAGGACCTTCAGGGCCAAATTCTAACAAATTTTAAAGGGCTATCAGGGGCTGATTGCTTGATTTTTGGACAAATATAGTTATTTTTTTAATACTTTTAAAGGACTTTCAAAGCCATAGGCATAGGCATTGAATAATTTTTAAAGAAAATTCCGGACTGGATATTTGTGGAGCATTTTTAAAGAACCTTCAGGGCCAATTTCTAAAGGTTAAATTTTAAAGGACTTCAGAAGCAAGTCCTTGATTTTTTGGACAATCAGGATGTTTTTTCTTTCAAAATACATTTAAAGGACTTTGAGGGCAAATTTTTTGGACATTTTTAAAAGGTTATTTCGGACTAGCTATTTATGAAGCATTTTGAAAAAACCTTCAGGGCCAATTTGTAAAGGTTAAATTTTAAAGGACTT